CTCTCTCTCTCTCTCTCTCTCTCTCTCTCTCTCTCTCTCTCTCTCTCTCTCTCTCTCTCTCTCTCTCTCTCTCTCGTCGAACCTGGCGAAGCGCCATACGTCAGAGCGCCGAAAACCGTCACAACAAAACCGTACCCGAACGCCAATAGAAGCAGCGAAACTGATCGTCGCAGCAATGAACGTCAATCGAAGCAGCGAAATTGACCGTCGCAGCAACGAATGTCAATCGAAGCAGCGAAGACCGTGCCCAAACACCGTTACGATTGGCGGGCAGGCCGATTCGACGGCCGGAAAGAACTTTCGGGAATCGCCAGGTGGCAGGCACGGATTCCCGAAAGCTGTATCCGCCCGTCCAACCCGGCGCACCCGCCAATCCCAACGGTCGTGAGCGATTTGGCCTGCCCCAAACAATTTGTGCGGTATCTGTCGGGCCCGCCTGCCGGTCCCACAAAGTTTCCCAACAGTGGAGAGCGGGTTCTCGGGGGAGCGTTACGCGAGACCCGCTATTTGCTTAAAGATAGTAAAGGAAGTTGGTTGTGCAAGGGTCTAGTACCCCTCAGAATAAGGCCCTGCAGCTGACGCGTGCCCCCCATAAGCGAAGGGGAGGGCCCTGAATCTGAATGCACCCTGAGTTTGTCAATTTTTGTAAATCTTGGTGGGTGCTTGACAGTTGCCAAGTGCCAGCTAGTTACATTTGCGTTGCTCATGAGAATCCAAAATATTTATGAGCCTTCCAGGCTCTTCCAGCAACGTGGTAGAAGCAGGGAGCACCGCGCGTTTGTGCCTGGGTCATTAGGCACGCCTAACCAATTTGGTCCCAGGCCACTGTTTGAACGGGCCTGGCCACATACACCTTGGCCAAGGCTAAAGCTACTGAAAACTCGGTCTCACTTGGGAAGCAAGTGGAATTTGCCTGCCACTTTCCAAAAAGGAAAGGGCCAGGCTTCGAGTTCAGTAGTCGGACACTTGCGGCGGATGCACCAGCGCTGCTGAAGCTAGTGCTCGCGGGCTGTTGCGTTAGCACATAGGCAAGTGTGTGTGTGTGTGTGGTCTTGCAAGACGGCTCGGCGCTGCAGAGGGCAGTGCCATAGCCAGCCCTCGTAGCCAGGCTTGGCTTGGACATAGCCAGTGGAGGTGGTGGTGGTCTTCTTGTTTGAGGGAGAAGACGTGGGTGTAGAAGTCAAGGGTGAGAGAGAGAGAGAGAGATGAGGATATGATGACATTGTGAGGGCACGTACTTGGTCTTGGTGATGGTCTTACAAGGGTCGACATCTTCATGTACTTCCGGTATGCTGCTGACGTCAACAGGTTGCATTGTTAGTTTGTAGGCTGATAGTGGCTCCGTGAACGTAGTTTGGGCATTGAGCGCCAAGTAGGAGGAAGGGCTCTGGATACATGTGTTGGTGATGGCAAGAGTATGCTCTCATTGATATTTGGACTCGGTGCCTAGTTGCTTAGTTGCCTCGGTGGGCTGGTTGTACAAGTATATCCGCGTGGGTCAGAGTCTCGGCGAGAGGTTCCGTGGGAACCACATGTTGAAGTGTCTATTCTGCGGCCATGAGTTCGAGGGAAACCATATGTGGCGGCACTCCATTTCAGGCAGGGAAAAGGGTGTTCGTCACTGACCAACGAGGCCCTAGTGGACTTATACCACAACACGGACTACAAGCTGGAGGGCAAGATCCTTGAGCGGATGCTTCAGTTCGCGGAGCTTCACGGTCCGACACATGCGATGGATCCGCGCCAGGACGAGGGAGGGGCAGGACAGGCGAGGGGTGACGAGGAGGTGGTTGACGTTGACAACGTCAAGGATGAGGGTGTGTGAGCTGGGCGGTCGACGACGGACCGAAGGAAGGGCGTTGTTCACGAGCCTAGGGGCCAGCAAGGTCGTAACTTTCAGGATGCGCACGTGTCGGCTCGCATTCAAGCGCATAGGGATGTGGAAGACACGGTGGCTGCTATGGGGAAGAGAAAGGAGAGAGAGGAGGGGGTGTGGCCGGGTTGGCAAAAGCGGTTGAGACAGAACACCATCACAAAGTCGTACTCTTTGCAATGGCAGATCGAGTTCGAGAAAAAGTTCTTGAGGTTTATCTACAGTCAGTGTTTGGTATTTAATGTCTTCCTAAGCGAGCCGTGGAAGGACTTCGTCAAACACTTCAAGGACTTCCTAGGGCAAGTGAAGGTTTTGTGCTCGTCTCACAATGAGATCACCGACATAGAGACGGTTGTTCGCACAGCGGACGATGTGACAGGTGATATCGCAAAGGTCAGGGCTCCTTTCTATTTCGTTGGGGCCACCATCATGTCGGACGGCAGGCTAGACCGATCGTTAACTTCCTTGCCGGCGGGTAATGCGGAGTGATGATGGTGAGGACAATGGACAGGGAGGGTGAGTGAGACCGGGCGCCTGATGTTTTGGCGCGTTGCATCAAGGTGTTCGATGACTTCCCTCCTCGGTGGGTGAATGCCATATGCACAGACTCTGCCTCTGAGTACGTCGCCTTGGCAAACATGTTCCATAGGCCCGAGCAGAGGCTCGGGCTTCGACGGATCACGTGGCTTCCGTGCGCATTGCATGTCTGCAACAAAATGTTGTTTGACATTGTCCGTGGTCAAAGAACATCATTGTGCGGGGGAGAGCGGTGGTGCGCTTCATTAAGGAGCACAGTGGCGTTCTGCAGATCTTCAGGGGGGAGAGCACGCAGATGGGTCTCATTTATCGCTGCGAAACACGTTTCGCATCAGATTTTGTGTTCGCTATGATGAAGCGTTCGCTGGCAGTGAGGTCATCGTTGGAGAGGACGGTGGAGTCGGGTGGACGACGACGGTTGGGGTTTGGTCCCCTCGGAGAGTAGTGTTGCTTAGTTGCCTCGGTGGGTTAGGTGGCAGGTGCGACATAGCCTTTTGTGGGATTCCATGAACGTCCTTGCTCGTGTACGACATGCTTCGCAGGTTGGACCGCGGAGGGCTGCACATGTTGCGGGTTGTTCAGTGGACGCAGGACGTGACCTGCGACGTGGCACAGGAGGTCCTCGCACTTCCACCGGACGTTGCACACTTCATTATGCAAAAAGTGCAGGCTCGGTGCGCTCACATGTTGGAGTCGGCGCACGCCGCTGCTCACCTTCTTTGTTCTAGTCGGCGAGACTTGAGGTACTACAAGGGTGTGGTCAACGACTATGATGTGAGACTCGTGCAGGAGGCAGAGGCGTACATCCTCACACAGACCGGGTTTAATGTCGAGAGCCCCGATTATGAGGTACGATGTGCCCAGTTGAGCGACTTTCACACACAGAGAGGGGGGATTGCGTGGGGGAGGAGGGACGGAGACAGGGAGACACAGACGTGCACCGGCAAGGTGGAGACGTATGAGGCCGGTTGTTGGTGGTCGACGTGGGGACAGTGTGCCCTGCAGCTGCAAGCCATCACTTTTTGTGTCACATGTGGACATGTTCCTCTGCCGCAGATAGGAATTGGGTCATCCACGAGGGTGTGCACACAAAGAAGCGTAACAGGCTCGAGTTCGAAAAGGTTGCGAAGTTGGTCGAGATCTCAGCCAACATCTCTGCCTTCTCTCTCACCAGCGGGCTGACCTCAGCTTTGCGTTGCCGAGGACAGTCGATGAGTCGATGTCAGGTGTGGAGGGAGGCATCGGGATTCCGCCGTCGTGGCAGGGGACAGACACCAACAGGACACAGGAGGACCGAGGGAGTCAGAGACGTTCATGGCAGCGAGACCCGTGTGGGTCGAGAGCTCCTCCGAGAGAGGTTGCAGAGGTTTTGGGGACTTGAGATGCCATGTTGCACCCGTATCCCAGAGACGACGGCAGTGATGACGAGGGCCTTGAGGGGGAGGATGAGCGGTCCGGACCTACTGCCCATCCGGCCGCACAGGAGACCGATGAGTGACCCGAAAGACATCCGTAGACGTAGTGGCGGGGGCAACCTATTTGGTGGAGGTGACGGGAGCCCTTTTGAGCGAGAGAGAACTGCGTCTCCGGGGCCTCAGTCCGTCAATACGCAGACAGTGTATGGATCTGCACGTTCGAGGGGGGCAAAGTCAGATTATGGTGGCGGTTTCTAGGGCAGTGTCTCAGGCATATTCGCAATGGGATGGCTTCATCCGACGATGTTCCCCTTCCGTCAGAGGAGCTTCATCGAGGCTCACGGTGAAGG